TTCTGGGTGCATTTCTTCAAAGCTCCAGCTGCTGAAATCAGGAGATTGCATGTGTTCATTAACTCTCCTCCCTTTCCCAGCATATGTATTTTTCTGTGGTTAGAGAAAAAAATATCGAAACACGAAATTAATCTATCCCGTAAGCTCAGGAACCCTCAGTCAAATCCAGAATCCCAGCCCTGGGAAGAGGGATACGACAGAACAAGGCCGTGGTAGTGGGACCAGAGTCTTGACAGCCAAGCAATGGACGAGGAGCATCCTCACAAGGAACAAACCCAATACTGTTCCTCAAATAAACTTTTCTGGTCAGCTAGTCCATAGATCCTATTTGCAGTGACCAGTACCTCTCCCAAACCACAATCCTCGCTTCGGAAAGGCTTCATCACAGGTGTCTCTCTTGGCTACTTCTTTTCAAGAGAGTTTTATCAAAATTCAGTCACGCTGGGGACCAATGCCAGAGAAAATGACAACTTTTTTGTTGACAACATTGAAAAATGCACCTCAGGCAGGCTGGAGACGTGACAACATTGAAAAATGCACCTCAGGCAGGCCGGAGAGGTGGTTGATGCCCCATCCCTAGAAACATTCAAGGCCAGGCTGGACGGGGCTCTGAGCAACCCGATCCAGTTGAAGATGTCCCTGCTCACTGCAGGGGGGTTGGGCTAGATGACCTCGAAATGTCCCTTCCAACCCAAACTACTCTATGATTCCATGACATAAAGAGGAAAACTTCAGATGATGATCATTTGCACACGCTCCACGGAGACTCATTAGAAGCTGACAGTTAATGTAGTCAACATTTCATCTGCCACAGCTCCTGTGTGCCAGTTCTGCACACTCCTTTCTTGCCCTATAGAACACACGGATCACACTCAGCTTGAATGTGAGCTCGCCTCTTCCTTGCAATTATTCCTACTGACAGAGAACAGGAAGGAAGAGGAGAGAACAGGGGCCTTGGGGCAGGAGCACTGTGACGGAGGGGATAGGAACAGACAGTAGAAAGACCCAACGCACTCCACGATAAAGAGACAGAAACGTTTCCTCTGAAAACACAAATAATTCAGACAGCCGAAGAAAGTGGGCTGACAAATGGGAATGGCTTAGACTGGGATTGCTGATGACGATGTTGCTCCTCACGGTTCTCATGATCTGCTCCAGCTGCACAGACCTCCAAGTTGCTTGTCAACCCATGGCCCAGCGCCTGCAGCTTGTGGGCTCTTTGAAGCGAGCCACCAGATTTTTCTGTGGGCATTAAAACAATGTTGTGTAAACTGCAGCAGTTCATAAGATGATTAAACACCTTTGCAGTACGGCTGGGCCAGATTTTTGGAGAAAGCAGACATTTTAGCTGCCTCAGTCTAAGCTCTCTCGTTCATCCACAAGAGCTATATTCTCAGAACTTTCTGGTCAATCTTTCTTTCCTTTTGGGAACAAACTTCACCCTTCTGCCCTACGGTCTGCTCCTCAAATACCTGTTGATACTTCCATTCTCTAGAATGTCCGGCAATCAACAACTGTCACCACAGTCCTCTCCACATGCAATGACTAGCTGTATCTGGCCTTCTTCATCCCACCAAAATAAAAAAAGAAATTCCATGTCTGATTTCCAGCATGTATAATTCTGTGCCCTTTCACCAATGCACTGGCAACCTGCAACAACCCCTGTTATCCATCTTGTTTCCTCTCCTTCCAGCCACAGCTCTATCAAAGTGTATCCCCTCGTTATTTCCACTGCCTGGTCCCCCACTTGACCTACACCCAACCCACAGCTGCCTTGTCCTGGCCAGGACGCAGGGACTTTGGCAGAGCAAACAGAGCTGCTGTAAGGATGCTCTCATGGCCTCAGCGTTGCCCGTCTCATCTTGCCATGCATGCGCAGGGGAAGGGGGGTGGCCGTCTGGCCGTGTCTCTTCACGGAGCGCAGCCCAATCCAAGGCATTCACTTCCACTCCCGTGGCTCATGGTAATGCTGCTCCACTGAGAGCAGAGACCTTTCCATGGGGAAACAGAATCAAAGAATCACAGAATCACAGAATGGTAGGGGTTGGATGGGACCTCTTTGGGTCATCTAGACAAATCCCCCTGCCGAAGCAG